ATATATATATATAGGTCCTTTTGATACATCAGGGGGAAATTATTTTTGTTACTAACTCCAGAAATTAAACAACATCATACACATATATACATGTCTATACATACATATATATATATATATACAAGATTTCACAAAGAATACAAATAAATACATACATAAGTAACTATATGTATATATATATATAGGTCCTTTTGTTACATCTGAAAAGGTTTTGGACTGAATGAGGTGTCAGGGGTATGTCCATTTATTTAACCTTAATTAAAAGTCCTAATTTGAAATTAAATCATTCAAAACCATCTATTAAATTTAGATTTCTTACTCCAATTGTTACTCCAATACTCCAATACTAAAGTCATACTGTTTGTCATTTTGTAAGCTATAATTTTGAATGACATGAAGAGGCGAGATAAGACAAAATACAATTATATTCTCTGAGTTGTTCTTTCTTTGATACAGTGAGCTTTGCAATATAAATGAGTCTGTTAGTGAATGGACAATAGCTTGTTGGAAAAAGCCTGGTTATGACCTGTTCTCAGCGCAGGAACTATGACCCCTATTATCTCTAAATAAAAGATTTAGATATGACTTATCAATATATTCCTGCTAAAAGGTCTGATGTTGTAGGGGCAGGTACTGAAAAGTGCTTGAAATTTCATTTTATGAATGAAAGAACAAGCTTGAATTTTATTAATGATGTGCCTTTTGTGGTTATCCTAGGCTTTAACTGTTCCATCACACCCTGGAAACAGATGTTATTTTAAGGAAATATGGAAATTATGGCATGTGCATTCCTTTATTCAGTCCATTGTTGTTGGCTATAATTCTGTAATCCTGCCCTTCAGACCAAACTTTATTCTCCCTTTCTTTTAATCATGTGGTAAGGGTTATATTTAGGGTTTTTATATGAATAAAATTGGTCTTTGGTTGATGTTCTATCCTGTAAAAAAAGATAATAAAAAATAAATAAATAAATAAAAATATATACATATATATAAATAAGATTCTATGGGATAGATATAAGTGTACCCATGGTCACATATATACTGAATGCATTTTAGACTTTTTCTCTAAAGTATGCTGGATGCATTTTAGACTTTTTCTAATATTATTTTCCTAATTTTCCAACAACTCAGAAAGAAAAATGTTCCTTTCCAGATGTTTTGCATCATGAACTCAAACCTTGTGGGTTTGATGCTTTCCTAAACCAAGAACCTTGACAGTCTTGCACTGTCATTGTAGACGTTCTGTAGAATTAAATAAAGACACAAGTTCCTCCTTGCATAACAGTCATAGACAGCCGTGCTTCAGCTGGGGTGATAAATCTTTCAGGCTTTCGAACTGGTAAACAACCTCAGCGCCACAGAGATGTTTCACGCCTCTTGACCAGTCGAGCTGCCTGGAGCCTGAAATTCCACAGTTCCTATCAATCCAAACCTCAAGTTCCAGCCCGGTTTTTGTTAGAGGACAGCTAAATTACGGGTGTAGGGGGGAAGTGGTTGACAGGCAGGTTCAGCTCATTGTTTTCAAAATCGCTGTCTTCTGAGGTGAGAGGGTTTTCGGTTTTCTTTGTCTCATCTGCCCAATTAGCATTCTTTTTCAGCTCGATTTGTTTTGTTTGTTTTTTTTTATTCCCTGTGCTGGTAAGATTACGATTTTTTCTAAGTTGATATCCTGTTATTAGAGTCCAATCGTCATCTTCAGGCTCAATGAGGAAAAGTCTCGTTTGCATTCGTTCTGATAAAACAACGTTCTGTGGATGACTCAGATAAGCTAAAGCTTGGTCTCCCACTTTGATTCAAACCTAACAATCTGAACTACTGGATGGGTTGCTGTTTCCTTTTAAAACACGATCCATTTCCATGCGTTAGCTAAATCCTGCAAACCCAACAGAAAGACCTAAAATTATGCTAACGCACGAGTGATGCCAGTTTGAAATTCCTTGAATTTCCCCTTGGGGATCAATAAAGTCTATCTATCTATCTGACTATCTATCTATCTATCTATCTATCTATCTATCTATCTATCTATCTA